CCCGCTATATAAAACTATAAGAGGACATTCAATTCTCCTTGATTCCTGGTGAAAACAGAAGTTCTCTGGTTAGAAACAAGCTTCAAAAGTGCAGTATATATTACAACAAAAAAGTAACAGATATAATTATCACTATACAAGGCAGTATTTTCTTTCTGGTGGAAATGGCATGAAATAGATTTTAACAGATTTCTTGTTTTGGTAGGAAACAAATCTGTATTCAGATGCCCCTCAATTTATGAGATTATATCTAGATAAACCCAGAGTAAGTTGAAAATATTATTAAGTTGAAGATGCAACTCTTGAATTATATCCTACTTTAAATGTTCCTTAAATCCTCCTGGGGGAAGGGGGTGATTTCTCATTTTGTATCTCTCTGTCTCTCTGTTTCTCAGGCAAGCACACACAGCCTATAGCAAAAATCTTTCTTAAAAAATTTAAAAATTATCATAATGGAATGAGGTGATTAAATAGGATGTAAGAGCCCACAGCAGTATAGTGGTAAAACACAATGCTCTGTGAGGCTGACCCACATGGGAAGGTTCTGAGTTCATGTTTGGAGACCTCCCTAACTATGCTGGTCATGCACATGCCCATGATTTGGAATTGACTGAGACAGAGGATGGATTGTGGCACCAAGATCTTGGCAGATGTGTGTGTGTGTGTGTGTGTGTGTGTGTGTGTGTGTATGTGTCTCACTCATGGAAGAAATAAATAAATCAACTTTTAAAAAGAGAATATAGTTTTTAAAAAAAGGACAAAAAACTTATTGTAGACATGATTAGGTAGTTAATAAATATATTTTTTAAAAGTACAAAAAACTTATTATAGACATGAATAGGTAGTTAATAAATATATTTTATATATTTTCTCATTTTTCTGAACTTTGTCATTTTTATTTCATTTTTGACTATTTAAAAATAACTTACTATGATTTCTAATCCTAAGCAAATACTTACATTTATACCTGTTATGATTTGGATACTAGTTTGTCCCTTAAAGTTTTATGTTCTTGAATTCGGATATCCCATAAGGGTTTATGTTTTGGGGCTTTGATTATATTTTAAAGGTATTAAGTGAAAACTTAATTTCTTCATGGTATCTAAAGTGGGACCTTTGTGTATGATAATACCATTATGGTGTGGCCTTCATGACTGAGTTCTGTTGCGTATATAAGGAGTAAAAATTAGGCAAGTGGAAACCACGTGGCTACAGACCACACTCTGTTCTGGGACTTCTGCCTTCTGCCATTTGGTGATGCCTTTGGACTTTTCAGCCATCAGAATTGTGATTTTTGTGAATAAACTTTTATTTTAAATCACTCAAACTCCAGTATTTCTGTTAGTGATGCAAAAATGGACTAAGACAATACCTAGCTTTGTAGTTGTGAATTGGTGCCTGATGTTTCTTTATTTAATGAGATTCTTTCAGATTTTATAAGCTTTAAGCTATATAAGCCTAGGGTCAGTCCTTTTAATTTCTTATGAGGTACAGTGAAAGTACTGGGAATACCAAAATCCCTTCCCCTTCTGGAACTTTTCAGTTTACCAGTGTGAGCCATTAGATAACTAAATAAAATATGCAGCAAACTGCATATAATTGCTCAGAAGGAAAGGCAATGAAAATGTGTCTGGTGGGTGGGGTTTGTAATTTTTACACACAACAGGAGAGGACATGTGACACACAGAAGAGAGCGAGCTAAGGGGCCATTTGGGCAAAGTGTGTACCAGGTAGGGAAAAAGTGGTGACCAGGTAGGGAATGGACCTGGTACAGACTCTAGGAGGAGTGAGCCTGGTGTGTCCAAGTCAGAGTATCTGGAGTGGAGAGAAAGGTGTAAAGCTAAAGAGATGAGATTAGAGAGTCAAAGAAGGAGGGAGCCTGTAATAGCATAAACATGTTGCCTATTACTGAGCAGGAAGAGAAGTCATTGGAAGGTTTGAGCAATACCTTGTCATGGTATGTCTTAACATTGTAATGGAATCACCCTAACTCATATTCTGAGAACAGAAGGATAGGCAACAAGTGAGGGGGCTGGGAGACCAGTTAGAAGGCTATTGCAATGAGCTAGGGGACAGACAGTGGCTATGAAGCTGCTAAGAAATTACTGGATTCTGGATAGACTTTGAAGGCAGATCTGATGGCATTTCCTCACATATCAGAGGGGGGTTTTGAGAGAAAGAAGGAATTAGGATTATTTCAAAGTTTTCTGACTGAGCAGTTGAGAAAATGAAGGTCACTTTATTATACTAGGTATTACTGTGACAAAAGTAGGTTGCTCAGTTCTGGTTATGTTATATTCAAGGCGATGCCAAGTGGACCATTGATTATATTAGTTCAGGAGAGACATATGGGCTGGAGATAAAAATCAGACATGGGACTTCTTTTGTTTTTTCCTTAAGAATTATTTTATTTAACTTTATTTATTTATTTATTTATTTACATTTGACCAGAGAGGGACAGAGTGAGAGAGAGAGGGAAAGTCAGAAAGCAAGCCACCAGGTCCAGAACTCGAACCATGGTTGACCATGTGGGAGTCCAGCACCCTTAACCACCCCACCACATGCTGGTCCCGACATGGAACTTCTTATGTATGGCAGTATGGTTTGTTTTCTCCAAGGCCATAGGAGTAAGAAAAAAAAGAGAAAGAATAAAAGTTTAGCAGAACATTAGGGTTAGTTTGTCGTTTTTCTAGCACTCAAGTTCTAAATATCTTACACATTAACTCTATTGTCATATTATCTCTATGACAATTACTTCCTGTTTATGTACTATTCTGGACCTCCAGTACACCAATGAACTATTAGAAATGTTTCACACATAGCTGATTTGATCATTTATAAAGGGTTAAAATAATTACAGAATTCAATGAAAGCCACAACTCAAAATTGTGTTTGTTTGTTTTTAATTTAATTTTTGTCTTTCCATTTGCTGTCACAGTGAAAGTTAGTATTTTTATTTTTATGAGTTTTCTTTGCAAATTTGATAAATACTGGCAGTAAAAAAAAAATATTTTAGAAGCCAGAGGATGGCATAACAGTTACATTGCTAGACTCACACATGGCCGACCATGGTTCGACTCCTAGACCCAGTGTCTTGAAATTCACTCTAGGCACTTGTGTATGCATACCCAAGATTCCTTGAGGAGAATGGAAGAGAAGGGACTGTGGCATGGCCATGCCCCTGGGAGGTGATTTTTTACTTTCCCTCTCACTATCTCTGTCTCTCTAAATATATCTCTGGTGAGCACACATCCTCTAAAGCAAAAATCTCTTTAAAAAATTAATAAAAAAAAAACTTGAAAAAGTTACACTGAATTCTGAGTAGGTTTATGCCCTAGTTCTTTAGTATTTTTGATATTTTCTAAGAGCTAAATGCTAAATAGATTACTGAGTAGCTCCCGGAAATATCTAGTCAAGAAATTGATGTATGAGGGGAAATTTTTCTTAAGGACATGTGTTATATTTGTTTCTTTAGA